AAAAAAAATGTGCAAAATGATGTAAAAATAAACTTTGTAATAAAAAAAAAAAAAAAAAGAATGCCTGAGTCTTAAATAATGAGAACTTGTTACATCTAGGAGACTATTCTTGTTTATCTCTAAGGTATGTAATCTATATCTTAAAATTTCTTCATAGTGATATAACTTATATGTTAAAAGGTATTTGCTGGTGTGATTAAGGACCAAGTATTGGAAAGATTGGACCAGATTATCCAGGTGGGACCCAGTATAATCACCTAAAAATCACCCAGTTATAGTCTGAAAGAAATGTGACTATAGAAGAAAGGCCAAAGAAATGCAACATTACTACCCCTGAAGACAGAGAAAGAAGACCATGATCCAAGCAAGCAGACAATCTCCAGAAGGTGAAACAGGCAAGTAAAGAGATCCTCTCCTACAACAACTAGAAAAGAGTGCAGCTCTGCCAACGCCTTGCTTTGGGTCTAGTGACTCAGGTCAGACATCTACAGAGCTGTTCCAACCATGTATTTGTTGTTTTTAGTCACTTTTTTAAAGACTACTTCACAGTGAAATACAACTTCAAAATGTACTTGAATTGTGTACACTGGACAATGGACAAGGGAAAAAAGACTCCAGGGGTGAAGATCAGAGGGTGGAAAGGCTAGGAACTGAGATCCAGTATGATCGCTGAGAGCCCACCTTTATTTCAACTTGTAGTTGGTGCCTATGAAAAGTTAACCCTGTGGCAATGCCAACAAGAGAACTTTTATTAGGAGCTGAAACAAGAAGGTCCCCATTTTGATTCACTGTAACTGTCAGGTAAATACCTCACTGTCCAAATTCACCCCTCCTCTCTCTCTCGTATAAACCCATGCTTAAGAACTAGTTCTCACGGGATTATGGTGATGGCACACGGGTGACTTGGTGATGGGAAACCCGCGGGGATTACAATTGAGATGGAAAAAAAAAATGTACAAAATGATGTAAAAATAAACTTTTGTAAAATAAAAAAAAAGAACTAGTTCTTGCCTTAAACAGGAAATATATGAAGAACTAGTTTGACAGCTCTTTGTTCATCATTTAAAACCATTCCTTCTCCTTTTGTCCTATTTTTGATGTTTTTTGATGTTTTTTGGTTTTTTTTAAAGATTTATTTATTTGTACATACAGAACTGAGGTACAGGCCAGAGGCTGAGGGGTGGCGAGAGGCTTCACCAAAGACAGAACAGGCAGATTGAACAAATACACTGCTGAGGGGAGCAGCGGGCGGGTCAGGAGAGGTCTGCCACGCCATGTGGTCACCTCCGGGGCAGGCAGGGATCGAACTCATGCAGAAGTGGCTTTATCTTCTCAGTGCAGTGCTTTAACCCGCTGCGCCACCAGGGAGGGACCTATTTTTGCTGTTTTAATTCACTGGTATAGCTCTTAACCTCTTATTGACCACACTCTTTGGTCTAGGTGCCTAAACCCAGGATGCAAATCTAACCCTTTGTTTTCCAGTCGACTCTAAGTCAAAGATTCTGAAGTAAAATTTTTTTATACTCTAGAAATGCAGGTAGCCAACAAGCATATGAAAAAAGGTTCAACATCACTCGTAATAAGGGAGATGCAAATTAAAACCACAATGAGATACCACCTCACATCAGTGAGAATGGCACATCTTAAAACAAACAGCAACAACAAATGTTGGCAAGGATGTGGAGAAAAAGGAACTCCTGCACTGCTGGTGGAATGCAAACTGATCTAACCACTGTGGAAAACTATTTGGAGGTTTCTCAAACTGCTAAACATGGAGCTTCCATATGACCTAGCAATCCCACTCCTGGGTATCTACCCAAAAGACACAAAAACACTGATTCAAAAAGATACCTGCACCCCCGTGTTTATTGCTGCTTTATTTACAATTGGAAAGACATGGAAACAGACCAAATGCCCAAAAGTGGATGACTGGATTAAAAAGATGTGGTACATATACACAATGGAATATTACTCAGCAACCAAAACAAATAAACACATGCCTTTTGCAGCACCATGGATGGAGCTGGAAAAGATCATGTTTAGTGAAATAAGCCAGGAAGAAAAGGAAAAATACCAGATGGTTTCACTCATAGCAGGAGTATAATGGACCAGGTAAGAAAATAATAATGAACAGTTATATACCAAAGATATTTTATGGGGGTAGAGTGGGGAATGGGATCAAAAATAGTGGGGGAAGGGAAATGCACTGGACTGTGGTGATGGCACACGGGTGATTTGATGATGGGAAGCCCACGGGGATTACAACTGAGACGGAAAAATGCACAAAATGATGTAAGAGTAAACTATTTTTTTTAATGTTATACTTTAAAATTCTGTATGCTTATAATCCTGTGGTGGCTAAATCCTAGGTTGAGCTTGTGGTCATAATCCCTTCTTGAGTGTGAGCAGGACTTATGATTTGTTTCTAATACTAATGGCTGAATGTCATTTCTGTGATGATTAAGTTATACTACATGCCTAAGGAGATGGAAAGACATGACCATAATTAGCCTACAATCTCTGTGTGTGTATGAGTATATGAGAACCCAAGAATGGAAGGAAGTATTTGCACATTGTAGGGAAACAAAACTCTGTGACCCCAAAAATATATCTCTTTGGCAAAGAACTATTACCTAAGATAGGATCTAAAATTGGTTGTAAGACTGACTGTCCTGTCATAAGAGACATTTACATTTATAGAGAAAAATTTTCTTCTGTCTCAATCAATGTAACATTCTTATCTAGAAGGAAAAGAATTTAAATCTGGGGCCTCTCTGGTGGCACAGGGGTTAAGTCTCAGTGCTATCACCACTGCTGCATGAGTTCAACCCCCAGCCAGGGAACTGACCCGCATGGCAAGCAGCCCTCTGTCTCACCCACCACTCCCCTCAGCAGTGTATTTCAGTACATCTGCGTGTTCTGCTCCCCACTCTGTCTCTGGTGAATACCCTAAACCCCCTGCAGAACCTTTGTGTTGCACCTCAGTTCTATGCAAAAATAAATAAATAATATGTTGGGGGTAAAAAAAAGAAATCTGACTAAAGGTTATGCACCTGCTTATTGTGCCTTCCCGATTACCTCTCACAGCTGATCTCCCTCTCCCAAGCCTTTGTCTCAACAGAGATATTTAAGACGGTGACTGAAGCAATTTTGGTGGGTGACTCAGTCTTACTTGGGTTTCTCCTATGTATACAGGAGACATACATGTGTGTGTATACCCAGAAATGGATATTTCTCTTGACAGTCTGTTTGCCATTTATTTGATTAGTTGCCCAGCTAGAACTCAGAGGGGTATGGAAAGATTTTTTCCTGTGCTTCTACATCCTACATGTAATAAGGGATTAATATCCAGATTATATAAACATCTTAACAACAACAAATAAAACTCAATTCAAAAACAAGCAAAAGACTGGCCCTCCCTGGTGGCGCTAGGGGTAAGGACTCAGCACTGCAAGAAGCCACAGCAGCTTCAATGTGAGTTCAATCCCCAGGCCCGGAGGTGACCCACATGGCACAGCAGACTTCTCCTGACCTGCACACTGCTCCCCTCAGCAGTATATTTCAGTACATCTGCCTAGTCTGCTCCCCACTGTCTCTGGTGAATCCTCTTACCGCCCCTGTACCTCTGGCCTGTACCCCAGTTCTGTATGTATAAATAACTAAATCTTTAAAAAAGAAAAAGGACTCAGCGGTGGAGTCAATGGCCCAGAGGGCAAAACCTACTTAGCCTCTAAGTATTTTCCTTTCCTCCCCACTCTGGATAGTCCTGGATTTTGCCACTGTCCATTTGGTTTCCAGTCCCAGTCAGGGAATTCCTTGCTTAGTCATCTTCAGTCCTGCTGAGGACCACACTTATGTTCTATCCCCCTCGTCCTATCCCACCACTTACTTACCTTAAAAAGTTTCTGGGAGTGTTTAATCATAAAAGCCATCCCATTGTTTAACTTTGCAATATTCTCTTGTAGGTCATTTGCAGTGACCTATTCAGAGAAAAAGAAGCCAGAAAGGGGAAATTAAGAGTAAGAAGGAGAAGGCAGATACTCCATTTACTGACCAATATTCTTTCAAAAGTATGAGTTTCTATCCCTAACAAAATGCCTCTAAATATTTTAATTCTGGAAAAGCTTTCTGGTTCAGTGCATTTCCACCAGACCTGACATAATTTGGGAAGAACCAAGTGTCCCTGAAATGACCAAGAAATTCAAGAAATACCTGAGAACTAATCATTATTTCCTAATTCAACTTGAGAATTAAATGTGCAAGCAGAATTACTAAAAGAAAAGACCTTAGAAGGGATTTCAAAATGAGCAGACTTTGTACCAACCATCAAGGACAGTGCCTCTTCAGAAAATGAGTTTTCAAAAAAAACTGTCACTAATGGATACCTGTTTCTTAAAAACAGCAAAATGATCACTGATTCCCTTCTTGTTTCTCCTGCCTCCTTGTTAAGCACTTCAGCATCCTACTATACCAAGTCCTCATCCCTAACATGTACCATTGTTACTTAATCTCTCTGCTTTCACCAAGAGCTCTTAAATATTTCTCTTTATAGATACAGATTACTCATTCCTTTTTCCCAGTCTCATTTAGCTAATTTTAAAATTCTTCCATTATAAGGTTTGATCTTCATATGGACAAATGCTGGTGTTCCTTTACTTCTCAAACACCCCCCACACTCTGGCCAGAGGCTCTTGCTAGCCTTGAACTTTACATTATTTTTCCACTAATTATTAGTTAGATAAAATGTTCCACACAAACTCTCTCCTTTAACTTTCCTAATTCCTTATAATATTAAAATCCCTTCTAAGTCACTATATCCTATCTATTTATCTATTATCATCCCCAAAACCTTGTGAGATAAGTGGTAAAGTAATATGTCTGACCAATATACAGAGATGCCGAAGCATAAACAGGGTAAAGGACACAGCTGATTTGCATCTTCTTTAAAGAAAAAAAAGGGACCCTTCCTGATGGCACAATACGTTAAAGCATAGTACTGTGAAGCTGTCTGCAGCCACTTCAGCATGAATTTGATTCCTGGCCAGGGAGGTGACCCACATGGTGTGACAGACTTCTCCTGACCCACCCGCTGCTCCCCTCAGCAGTGTACTTTGTCGATCTGCCTGTTCTGCTCCCCACTCTGTCTCTGGTGAATCCTCTCACCTCTCTCCTCTCCCTCAGCCTGTATCCCAGTCCTTGTGTACATAAGTAAATAAATCTTTTTAAAATTTTTATTTTATTTATTTATGCATACAAGAACTGGGCTGCAGGGGGTAGGAGGGCTAGGAGGATTCACCAAAGTAGGGAGCACAACAGGCAGATTTACTGAAATACACTGCTGAGGGGAGCAGCAGGTAAAACAGGAGACATCTACTGCTCCATGTGGGTCACCTCCCTGCCCAAAGACTAAACTCCAGTGGCTACTGATAGTTTCACAGTGCTGTGTTTTAACTTGTTGTGCCATCAGGGAGGCCCCAGTTGGCAACTTCTAACCCAGGTATCCTGCTTCCAATTTCATCACACAGTAAAACCTATGTTATGAATAGACAAGAATATGAAGCTTATGTCTCCAGGTGAAGAAATAGTACAAAAGATTTTAGATATTTTACTTATTTCTCATGTAGCTATGAGAAACCATGATCTCAATAACAAGAAGTACATTCAGTTTTATTCAAGGAATTTAACTGTAAGGAAAGAAAGTTACCACCAAAATAACTGTGTCCTCTTATCGAAAAGTTTAGTAACACTCCTGTCAAGTCATAAAGCTCCATTCTAAATTTATACTATGCAACCCTCCAGACATCAATTTGAATTTCCAAGGTTTTTGTATTAAGAAGGAATTCAGACTAGGCATCCCTGGTGGCCTAGGGGTTAAATCTCAGCACTATCACCACTATGGCCTGAGTTTGATTCCTGTGCAGGTAGCTGATCCACATATTGTACAGCAGACCTCTCCTGTCTTGCCTGTTGCTCCCCTTAACAATATATTTCAATCAATCTGCCTGTTCTGATCCCCACTGTCTCTGGAGAATCCTCTCACCCCAACCCCCCACCCCATCTCTGGCCTACAACCCAGTTCTTCTAAAAAAAAAAAAAAAATAAAAAAAAAAAAAGGAATTCCAACTAACCAGCCAAAACCATTATTTAAAAATTAGCAATTTTCAACTAAGAGTCTCCACTAATAAATGTCATTTAAGTTTATCAGAGACTGATTACAGGTGAGATTAACAGAAAGCAGTCCCTCTATGTTTGATGACTCTTAATTGATCAGTAAAATTCTTTAATGACCTAGTAAAAAGTGATCTAGTAAAAAGTTCCTAACATCATAAAGTTGAAAACTAGACCTTGAACCCTACACTTGCTAACTTCACCAAAGTACAATCACAGGATGAGGCCCAGCCCAAGAAAACCTAACAATCTTTGCTTGTCCCCTCAACACTTACATTTTTTGGCCATAAAACATGGGGTGCAAACATAAGGGCCAAATTATAGGCAGACATCTTATTCTTGTCTTGTTTCTTTGCTGTCTGGTACAGGAGATCAAGCAATAACTTCAGCAAGTTACGATTGGGTGGAGGGAGAATAAGGAAGAGCAACCGAAGAGCCTCAATCTGCCGTTCCTTATCTGGTACGTTGGTCTTGTTCCCTTTATCATCAAACTGCATCAAATCTTGAGGGCCAAAGAAATGATTGCAATGTAAGTAGAAAACACAAGCAATAAAAATCAATGTTCCTATTATAATCTTCCCCTCAATTCCAATAAAAGAAATGAAAAAATATATTCAGGCATAATCTTAGATTACAACAAAATGTAGTAACAAAAGACAAAAACACAACTAAAAACAAGCAAAAGACAGACATTCCCCCAAAGAAGATACACAAATGGTCCGTAAGCATTAGTACACTCAGTTTCACTAGCTATCAGGGAAATGTATATGTAAAATCAAAACCACAGTGAGATTCTACTTCCTACCTAACATAGCACAGTTATAATCAAAAGACTGATAAAACCAAACATTGGCAGGAATGTTGAGAAAATTAAACTGACATTGCAGTGAGATTGCAAAATGATGCAACCACTTTGGAAAACAGTGTGGAAGTTCCACAAAAATCTAAACAGTTACCTTAGGACCGAGCAATCCCATTCCTAGGTATACTAAACCTAGAAGAAATGAAAAGCATGTCCATACGTATCTTTAATAATGCTACCCCTTGCGCCTTCCTTCACCCATGATGTTATTGCTAAAAAAAATATAAGAGTGAATTATGACCCAAGTAGCTCCTCATGGGATCAGAATCACTGTTGCACCTTTACAAGGATATACAGGTTATAACAAAGACAGTCTACTGGATAATCAGCATTTCAAGGACACTGATAAGCCACATAGGTATAATTCATATAGACCTGAAAATGATTAGTGTGTTATTTAAACCATGTAACTTCATTAACACTTCTGGATTTATGAAGGGAAGAAAATATTTCTATAAGCTGTTCCCTGTTAATTTGAAATTGAAAACAAACATCCCTTCCAATCATCATAAAGGTGTATCAAACTCTATGTCTGTGCTACCTCAATGTGATCTCAAAGAACAGTGAATCCCAGAGTGGGGGAAAGGAATTCAAATAATGCACTAAATTAACTCAAGAGGAAGTGCAAAAAAAAAAAAAAAAACCTAATCTTACTAGATTTTAGAAATTCAAAACTAAACTTTTTAGTAGTAAAAGTTATTTGAAAGAAAAAAATCTTATATTGAATATTTTTCCTTCAAATTAGAAGAAAATACTCAAGGGCAGAAAGCGAAGTAGACTCAGTATGGATTTTGATGCTGTGCATACTTAGCGCCTACAGCAGCATAACAGCTGTGCAATCTAAAAATGAACTCCTGACCACACAAACATAAAGGAAAATGAGAAGACTATTTATGAGCTAAAAATGGAACATTCTCCAAGATATATTCTGTGAAAAGAGCAGACTAAAGAACTATGTAATATTCCATCATTACATGAAAAGAGAGAAAGGAAAATATGTAAGTTTTGCAAGATTATAAAATATCTCTGGAATGATACACTAAAAATCAAAAGCTTGAGTTGCCTCCAGGAAGAAAAAGAGGGCATGAGGAACAGGGTAAGTTAAGGTAAAAGGCTTTTCACTATATATTCTTGAAGCTTTTGAATTCTGAACCATGAGAATATATTGCCTATTTAAAAAGCCATAAAATTGTCCCTCTCTGTGGCACAACAGGTAAGGACACAGAACTGCAAGCGAGCCACAGCCACTTCAGTGCAAGTTTGATCCCCAGTCCTGAAGATGACCCACATGGCATGGCAGACCTCTCCTCACCCGCCGCTGCTCCCCTCAGCAGTGTACTTCATTGATCTGCCTATTCTGTTCCTCGCTCTGTCTTTAGTGAAGCCTCTCGCAGCCCCTGCACCTCTGGCCTGTACCCCAGTTCTGTATGAATAAATAATCTTTTTTAAAAATTAGTTTAAAAAACAAATTTCTGATGTAAAAATAAACTGTTATAAAAAAAAATTTCTAAGAATAGAAGTTATCTGGGACCTCCCTGGTGGCGCAGCGGGTTAAAGCACTGCACTGAGAATCTAAAGCTGCTTCCGCATGAGTTCAATTCCCGCCTGCCCCGGAGGAGTCCACATGGCGAGGCAGACCTCTCCTGACCCGCCCGCTGCTCCCCTCAGCAGTGTACTTCGTCGATCTGCCTGTTCTGCTCCCCACTCTGCCTCTGGTGAAGCCTCTCACCGCCCCTGAGCCTCTGGCCTGTACCCCAGTTCTGTATGTACAAATAAATAAATCTTTAAAAAAAAAAAAAAAAGAATAGAAGTTATCTCAGTCGAGGCATAATAATACTTAGCAAAAGTCCCATAGCAAGGCAAATATACCAAACCTGTATCCATCTCTGATATGTGAAATCATCCACTGGAAAACATGCATTTATTCCAAGCTACTAAATTGAAAGAAATGCATTTATATCTCACTTCCTATACTCACCAGCAATTTTAAGGTGTGCATGGAAATGTTTATGTGTCAGCAGGGGCTCAGGTAACTCTCCCAGAAACATCTTCAGCAAGGTGGCAACATCATTTGAGTGAAACTCTCCTGATTCCAAGTCAATATCAGTTCCATTATTGAGAGCATCCCTTAAAATCTGTTGTCGGACACTATTCCCTGGTACTCTAAACAAACCCTCTACTCGCAAGTCTGTTTAGCATGGAAGACAACAGAAGGCATCAAAAAGTTATTATTAAAAAAGAGAAGTTATTATTAAAATAAGTCATCTAAAAGACTACTTTTTCATAATTCAAAGACCCTTTGCAAGACCTTAGAAGGTTTCTGTCTTGTCCCAGAGTAGTTTAAAACCACTGCCCCTAAAGAGACACATCTTAACATTTCTGAGCACCTGGCAATCTCCCACACTCAGAGATGGTCTCCCAGGAGCCATTGAATGTCCTGAGTGCCCTAAACAATGGTCAGAATGCATCTGAAAAATAAGTTGGAAGAAAAGCCAAACCTCCCTAAAGGTACCTCCCTTCTTTTGTCTTCACAGAAGGGAGACTGAGTTCATATGAGGTTCGTTTTTCCTGTAAATGGTTTCCCAAATCAAAACAAATCAAGACTCTGCCTGTTGTCCAGGAATTAGAACTTTAACCTGTTAGATTACCTTTCACACTAAGAGATTCCCAGAAGTGCAGGGTCATTCTGGGTTAACTATTCTTCCCTCCCAACTAGGTCCTAAACTAATCTAACGAGATTTAAAAAAAAAAAAAAATGGTCTACATAGTTTTTGTTTGATCTGTAAGAAGTGTGAGAGTTCAAGTTTCAAACTTAGGTAAATATTTACTTTTGCATATAGCCTCTTAATTCAGGGCTCCAAGTTCAAATGCCTACAGTGCAGGCAGGTAACAATAAATGAATGAAAAGAACCCATAACAATCTGGAGCGCTCCAGTAGATCATGTCCAAGAAGATGGCTAAAGGACTCTGTATCTGCCTAGCATCCAAAAAGCTAAAATTATGAAGTCTCCCTCCCCATATTAAAACTGGTAATTTTATTTTTTAATTTAATCTTTTGCCGACAAATAAAACATGAATAGAGATGACTTAAGTCCTTACATCTCAGTTTGTAACTCTACTCTCCTGGCATGGTGTCCCACATAGAATATGCCATAAGTAACAAGTTGAATTCAAAGCATCACAAAAAGCCACAAAATTTCACATGCTGTATCAAGCATTTAGAGCAATGACATAACCAGCATGACTACTAAAAATGAATAGAAAGTAAGATTGTATTTTAATCATAGAACTTTAGAGATGAGAAGTATCTCTGGCACTTACTCATGCTCCCTTGTGTTATAATTTTCTAGGGACAATGTATTTTTCCAGAAATGTCTCTAAATGAAGAGGAAAATGTGATTTCACAGACACTATCTAATCTATATTCATCTTTGATAGTATAAAATCAATACATGCAATGAAATTTAAGAGGAAATATATTTAAAAACATGCCACCTGAGAACATCACCAATTAGTGTCACTGTTGATGGTTAACAGATGCCCACTGATTCAAAAAGTTAACTCTCAATAATAAACTCATAATTTTTCACTAACAAAGAACAAAATTTTGAGTAGTCTTACTTTTGTGTAGATATTCAATCAGCTGGTATATCTGGGCAATGCCTTCCTCTGTCAAAGGAGATCCAAATACTACTCCTTTTTCTAAAAAAAAAAAAAAAAAAAGACAGGAATGGGCTGCCTTTTCCACAAACAGTACAAAACCATCAAACTTAAAACCACCCAAGCATCTATACTACAATTCTGCAAACGTTTTTATGGAGTTAGTACCAGAAAAAGACAGTCAGGGAAACTCTCAATCAACTCTCTACATGTTTAATAGTAAACTCTAAGTTCCCTGAAAGCAAAGACCATATTCTTATGTAAGTATCAATACCAAGAATGTTGATATTTACCAAAAAAACAGAACTTAGAGCCACTGAACTGTCAAAGCATGACAAATTATCCACTGAAGTGGTACAGTGTGATCGGTGACCTGTTTCAATGTCTAAACTTTTTTCTCTTAAATGAAGTCCTTATATTTAACAAAATAGTGCCTCTTTCATAGCACAGTGCTACAATTATTTTCTGAAAACTTTTTTTGGATGATTCATAGTCATTCATAGTCATAGTGCTTGTCCAAAGCACTCAGAGAACTCAGAGAATAAAAATGTTTAAAAACCACTGCAATAAAAAAGGTTCAAATTTCCCTTACTGGACTGTCCAACTGTGTGATTTTGTTGTTGTTTAATATTATTTTAGTATAGCATTAGAACATGAAAATCAAGGTGACCTTGATAACTACCTAAACTAATTATGGCACTTCTTAAGGACTGACTATATTTACTTTGTCTCTTTAGCTAGATTATGATTTTTATTACTATTAAATAAGGTTCTGCTACATAAAAAGGAGAAAATAACAAAAAAATCCTTTACAGTCACAGTAATTTCACTGCAAATGTAAATGTCAGCAGTGAAGCCCGGGGACCCAGCCTTCACCGACACATCTCCTACCCTTCCGCTTGAGAGACATCAGAGACCGGAAGAATCCTGATGCTGGACCAGCCCCACCAGGCAACTTAAGGTCCACTTCCCCCATTAGCTGAGCCAACTCAGTTCCAGGTAGATCGATGAGCCTTGTAATATTGCTGACCACCAACTCAGTGAACACCTCAGGTTTCTCATGTCGGAGTTTTTCCACAAAAAAGTCAGGATTGAAGATAATAGGCTGACCCCGAAGGGAAGAGTCCTTGCAGAGAACAAAACTGCAGATAGCATCACTGGAAAATATGAAACAAGAATTGAGATAATTTTTGCATGCGTTTCTCGGGTCCTCTCAACCACACCCTTTCTGTGGATTTCATCATGTTGGTCTTTGGAAAAACCTAATCCTTAATCTGCTGTCTGCACAAAAGAAGATAACTTGGACTTGCTACTCAGGTGATATTCACCTGAACACTTAAGTACTTAGTTTAATGAAAAAAATCAACAGCCAGTCTGACATGACCTAAGTTTGTCTCTTACTTTCAGACATACAGTGCAGGAAGATACAGATTTACAGACTCCCAGGTCTAACAGAGTATTAGTGGTAGTCACATGGGCCATGTTCCCTTATGAAACTGTCAAACCCTGGATTAATTACTGCTAAAAACTTGTAAGACATTAGACTGTAGCTGTTTCCCTTAACTGAGTAGTGGATAATCATTAAATTAAGGCCTTCTTGAGAAGGCCTTAGAATCACCAACTGCTCACAGGACCATCATCAGACCACATTCATGACAGTAAACCTGAGACTGTGTAAAAACTAACACTATAATAATGTAATAGACACTTCCTTATAATCAGACCCCTTTAATTGAGCCAGATGCCCTTGAATTCCATTCCTGACAACCAAAAAGCCTTCACTAGAATGAACGACATTTTAGAGGTACATTAAATAAATGCTAATTCAGCCTTGCCCAGGTTGAGAACTAGGTTTTATTCTTTTTTTTTTAAGCTATAGTTATTCATACAAGAGCTGATGTGTAAGCCAAAGATGTATGGAGTGGGATGGTGTGAGAGGCTTCACCAGAGACAGAATGAGAAGCAAGCAGGTGGATCAACACTGCTGAGGGGAGCAGCAAGCAAGATGGGAGAGGTCTGTTGTGCCATGCGGGTTACCCCTGGCAGGAGACTAGACTCATGCTGCAGTGGCTGCTCATGGCTTCATAGTGCTGAGACTTAACCCCTGTGACACCAGAGAGACCCAAGTTTTATTTTAAATCCTGTAATTCTCAATGCCTCTCTCCCATCATCTAAGTCCAATCTTAATTTGGACAGGTGCTTCCCTCCAGAGTACTTGGGAAATTGCATTTGCTTCTAATTTCATTCTTCTATCACTGAATAACACTAAGTTCTGCTGGCCTCTAGCTTATTTTCCACTCCTACATGACCTTGCTATACTCCCAGAAAAGCTCTTCTGACTCTCAGAAATATTTTCTTCCCTGATCTTTGTTTCCTAATGCCTAATTACTATACGCCATTGTACTTTTAATATGGTAGATATAAAAACAGCATTATTGCATCCTACAGCAGACACATCACTTATCAATTATCTAGAAACAGTCATTTATTAGATAACCTCTGAGTAGATAAAAACACAAACCAGAAAGGACAACTTATCACATCTATCAAGCAAAGTCGACATTCACCTGACTCACACAGTATTTCCACAATTAAAAAATCACAACTTAAAAAGTCTCTCGTGGCACCAAAACACTGCCCCCAAGAAAAATGGCACTCCAAGTATTAAATATAAGTAATCTATGACACACCTTGCCAATATGATGTGGATAATTTTTAATAACGCTATAACAAAAAATAAGGTTTAGGTATACTTCAAAGTTCATCTGTACAACTTTGAAAAATTATTAATTAATCAACAGTCCAAATTTACAATTGATAGCTAACTAAAATAACTTTTCTCTAAAATGGTAAGAATTCAGGCAAAAATTTAAAATCATAAATGCATGTTCTCAGGCCAAAAAGTTATTGAAGAAAGACAACTTAAATGCTTGCCTCCTCAAGCCTTTTACACAGTTTAATTTAGGCTATCTGTTAGATTATCTTTCCTGTACAAACTTAAAATGCCAACTGCGTGTAAGCCAATTAAAATCAAAATCAACTCTATCCTAAATCATTAACAAGTTCTTTTTTTAAACATCAGCTTATTTCTGTCAACTAGAATCAATATAAAACTATTGTTTATAATCACTGTCAATGAAAAATTAATATCCTACTTAGAGTCAGAAAAACACGAGTCTGAGAATGATTATATTCAGATTGAATATTAACATTCACATCATATCAAGCCCAAACTATGATTTTATGAAATCCACATCCCTTTTAATTTATCAGAGATATCAGATCATATTAGCCTATCACAGAAAAGTACATGAACAGTATCCAGTAAATGCCTGAGGTAGAAACGGGTACATACATACAACCTCCAACTTCTTGTGTTACTGATGTCCAAAGCAAGACTAAGTTAAGATTCTAAACCTTACATCACAGTTGACCCTCCAACACCGACTATATCAAACACAAGTAGAAAAAGAGATAGAAAGACAAAGCCCCAGCTACAGTGTTTTTCAACAGAATTCTTTCAATCTAGGCATCAACCCCTAGACAGCACCCTCTTAACTAAGTGTAGTAGGCAGAAAATAAAGAAGGTCAAGGTTGTTTCTACCTATTCACAAACAATATAAGAGAAATATGTCTCTGGTGCTCTAAAGCACAAGTAACCTGTTACTTCCCTTCTGCTTTTCCTCCCTCCCACTATCACTTACTCTTAGTTTGTCCTACATTAACTTCTTCAACCTATTTCCCTTTTTCCTCTTCCTCACTTATTCTGAGAAGAACATTTGGTAAGACAAGAGCCAAGATAGTGAGATGGTTAAGAAATAAAAGATAAACAACAGAAAAGACTTTAGTTACTCCCACCGCGCCCACTACTCCCTTTCCACAAAATACACAATACCACAGTATAAAGCTGAGACTATCAAGGAACATTGTTAAAACTTAAGGGATTCTTAAGAATCTTAGAGCTAAAAAGATAACATCCTGCTATACAGTATTTTTTTAAACAAACTCAAATTTTGCTCAAGTTCAAGAAAAAACAAATTTCTTACATAAGTGCTGAAAGCTTCTGATGAGGCATTGGTACATCGATGGGACAAGAAAAAAGCTTTCTCCTTAGTGTGACAAAAGAGCCCTCCTTTCCCCACCCCATCTTAGCCTACACAAATTCCAAACATGTCAGAAGACACAAGGACACATTATGGGACCTGAAAGGCAGACTTATTAGAACTCTAAGCACTTATCTGCAAGTAGGAACAAAACAGAAATTTTCAAGACCTGGACTAGTAGTCCCCAACTTGCTTAAATTCAATAGTATCTTCCATCACCACTCAAAGTTGTTCTCGACAAAATAATCCCCCAAAGTAAAGGTACAAGTAGTTTTATGATATGGAGGAGTATAATCCCTACCTCATAAAACATGCAAAAAATAAGTTCCAAACAGAATGTAGATCGAAAAATGAACAGCCTAAATTTGCAAACTCTAAAAAATAGCATAGAAGAACAAATTAATGAGGCAGAGGAAAGGTCTCTTAAACAAAAGATAAAAAGCACAATCCACAAAGACAAACAATACAGAAGTGTATTAAAATTTAAAATGTCTGTAGAGCAAATGACATTATAAACATTTTTTTTTAATGAAGTCACAATGCCTTTGGAGCGAAACCGGATGAAAGAACAGGAGTGGGAGAGAAACTTTTCACTGTATGCTCTTTTGTATTTTGTGAATTTTTGATACATGTGAACATACTACCCATTCATAAATAAACTCAAAACTTTAAAATAATAAAGACAAGCCATAAACTAGAAAAAGAAATTTGCCCCTATATAAAAGTAGTATTCAGAATATCAGTGTGCCTAAAATTTAAAAGAAAAATACATTCACTCAACTGAAAATTAGTAAGTAAATTCAGAGAAGAGGGGGCCTAAATGACTAATGAACATGAAAAGAAACCCAACTCTAGCAATTATATGGTAAAACAAGTTTTCAAATGCTATCTTTCTTTTTTTCTTTTAAAGATTTATTTATTTATACATACAAGAACTGGGTGTATGTTGGGGAGGGGGGATGAGAGAATTCACCAGAGACAGAGAAGGAAGCAGAACAGGAGAGGTCTGTTACGCTATATGTAGGTTAGCTCCCTGGACTGGGATTGAACTCATAGCTTGACAGCACTGGGTAGCACTTTAACCCCTGTATCACCAGGCAGGCCCAAATGGTAGCTTTCTCTAACCATCCATCACTTTGGCAAAAACTATGAGATTCAGGCTGTTTCTTTTTATCCTAGTATACTATAGCATTATTTGTTTATAAAAATGAGTCAGTTTCTGTTTCTCTATTAATGATATTTTTCTCCTTTATTTTGTATGATAAATGACACTAATTCTCTAATGTTAAACCAACCAACCTTGCATGTCTAGAGTAAACTCAATGCTGTTACAATGTACTGTCAACTTTATATGTTGTCAAATTTAGTATACTGTAAGTTTGTTTAGGCTTCTCCATACTTGTGATTGGTCTGGAATTGTCTTTTCTTGTATTGTCTTCATTAGGTTTCACATCAAGACTGTGCTGGTCTTAAAAAGTTAGTTGAGAAGTCAGTCTTACTTTTCTGTTTTCTGAAAAAGTTTATGTAAGACTGGCTACTAAAGCGGCTGATGAAACCATCTGGACCTAGAATCTACTTTGTAAGTTATTTAAATATATATTCATTTTGTGTAATAGGACTATTCAAATTTTCTATTCTTGTATTAACTTTGGTAAGCTTTATATTTATGAAAATCTGTTTATTTCACATAAATTTTCAATTTACTAAATATCCTCTCAGGAATATTTTAATGTGTCTAGGTGACATAGCGATACCCTCTTTGCTCCTAATTTGGTAATCTGTTTTCTCTCTAAATTTATAAATCTATTATAGGTTTATCAATTTTATTAGCTTTGTCAAGGTTCCAAGTTTTGGTTTTTTAATTCCTTTATTGCATGTTTGCTATTTAGTTCATATCTTTATTACTTCCTCTATCTTCCTTACTGGATTCAGGATGAAGGTGGAACTGCCAATTCCACCTCCATGGATGACCTTTGACTTACAGTCAAAAAGGAGAACTTGGACATCAATGGCAGGAGGAATGACATCTGATACCTATTTCTGTACAGCAAGTG